GCATATCTGCAATGGTTCAATGGAAGAAATCGACATTGATACGTTAAAATCTCACATAAAAAGGTACTGGTAAGTTAAGAGAAGACATCACCTCAACGATTACGCATGGAACTGCTATAATCTAACATATTTCAGCTAAATGAAGGGTTCTTACTCTGGAGCAACATATCCCTGTGTTCCCAAAACTCGGGTAGAGACATGTCCACCAGCTTTATCAGATCCAAGCTTGGCCAATCCGAAGTCAGAAACTTTGGCATGGAAATTTTTGTCCAAAAGAATATTGCTACTTTTGAGGTCTCTATGTATAACTGGGGGATTGACATGCTCATGTAGATATTCCAAACCTTTAGCAGCCTCCAACGCTATTCTTAACCGGGTCTTCCAGTCCAACTTTGGACAAAAATTATTGGAACCTACAGATTGAAGTGCAACACTTTCATTAATAACTTGATGACTTGAAAAGAAAAACTCGAAACAATGTGAAAAGAAGGTGTAAGAATAGGAACAGGCCATTTTGCACAACTAGGAACAGTACACAGTAAACACGAATTTCACATGCCAGTAGAATTTCAGGAAAAGACTTCCTTTGTTCCCTTTGGAGTTGGTTTCATAACATATAATTTAGTGTGTGGTTTTCTACACTTCAGAGAATAATCTCAATTACTGACGAGGACACCAGAAAAAATCACTCATTTTATGCATATGACAAACTTTGATATGTCTCAGAATGTCACTTGATGAGGATATCCATTCATCACTGCCATATCTATGAAGTATTTTTTCCACATTGGCTTTTCAAGCAGAGAAGGCAGGCTGGTACTAAATTCCAAAAATGCCCAAAACCATATACAACTGAAAACCAAACAGACCTTTGATTGGATACAAGTGCTCCTGTAAACCACCATTTGCCATGAACTCATATACAAGCAATTTATGGCTGCTTTCTGAACAATAGCCAATCAATGACAGCAAATACGGTGAGCGCAAGCGGCATAGCAACTCCACCTGATATTTGATAACAGCAATCATTTCACCAAAGTAAAAGAGAGGCAATAAAACAACATGTAAAAGAATAATCAGAGTCCTTTAACTCTTCTTGGAGTTTTAAAAAAGGTTCAACTGAAACTCTGTACTTTTTAACTGTTTGACACACGGTCGAAAAATCTTAGAAACTCATATAGCATTGGAAAGACAATTTGCTTTATATTAGATTACATCCTAACGTGATATCTTTCGAAGATCAGGACATTTGTGTATTTGTTTTCTTGCTAATGACGAGACAAGATCACATCTTCTTATGGATTATATTGAATTTATATTTGCAATTACCTCCACTTTGAATTCTTCCTCCCCCTGTTTTCCAGCCTGATCCATCAGCTTAATTGCAACCTTCCTACCATCTTGAAGTACTCCTCTATATACTGACCCGAAAGCACCATTTCCAATCACATTAGATTTTCCAAATCCACCAGTTGCTGAATGCAGCTGCTTAAATGTGAAAACCTGAAGTCCCTTCTCTGCAATAACTTCCAGATTGGAGAAACTATTGCCCTTGTCCTCACAAGCACTCTCCGTATCTGGATGGAGTAACAAAAATGTATCAAGACTTAAGCTTTCCCAAAACATGAACTGACACAGAAAAACACAATGTGAAGGTGTAAAATTGTGCCTTAGGAAGCACTTCCTATACAGCACAAGCCAAACAGTTTGAGCTAGTTTTATAAACAACTAATAGAGCACAGTGTCGAGGGTGAAAAACTTGTGCATAAAGAAACATTTCCTCAGTATAACAAGACGGAAGATTAGTGCTAACTTTATTAACAACTACTAAAGCATAGTGAGCAGGGTGTAAATTTGTGCATTAGGAAGCATTTTCTCAGTATAATAAGCAGGAAGATTAGTGCTAATCATTAACTTACAACTACTAAAGCACAGAGAGCAGGGTAATAATTTGTGCATTAGGAAGCATTTTTCAGTCAACAAGCCGGAGGATTAGTGCTAATTCTACTAACAACTACTAAAGCACAATGAGCATGGTGTAAATTTGAGCATTAGGAAGCATATTTTCAGTAAAACAAGTTTGACAATCAGTGCTAATTAATCAACTACAATTAAGGCTCAATTCCAAACTAGTCATGGTCAGTTAGAGAAATCTTCTCCATTAAGTTGAGGAAATTTAATCTGCTTCCAGACATTAAGGCATTTCACTCAGAATTTCAACAATACTGTAACCAACATTACAGCTTTTCCATTTGTCATAGTGAAAATGCAAGTTTCTTCTTTTCTTTCCCTAAAAAAAATGGACCCCCTCCCCCAAACCCTCCATCCCATCTACCCTTACCTTTCTTCTTTTCTCCCTTAGCTCAGTGCAATCCCCTCTTGACCCTTATCTTCCTAAAGATCAAAACTTTCTGCAATACTTTCAAGAACACAAAAACCACAACTCAAGAATATGTAATGCAATCCTTTCCATTAGTCACAATGACAATGTGTGTTTCTTCTTTTCTTTTCCTAAAAGTGGAAAAACTGAACCCTCCCCCACCCCACCCTCCCATTTCAACTCTTATCTTCCAAAAGATCAAAACTTTCTGCAATACATTCAAGAACACAAAAGCCACAACTCAAGAAAATATGAAATGCAATCTTTTCCAATAGTCACAATGACATTGTCTGTTTCTTCTTTTCTTTTCCTAAAAGGGAAAAAAACTGACCCCCACCCCCCACCCCACCTTCCATTTCAACCTATATCTTCATAAAGATTAAAACTTTCTGCAATATTCAAGAACCCCCCAAAGCCACAACTCAAAAAATGTACCTAATTCTTGAAAACACTGGTAACCACCTTACAAAAATTATAAAAACAATACTTACAAGTGCGGTTCTTGAGACGCTTGGCAACTTTATTACGGATATAACAATAGTAACTAAAGGCTACAAACAAAGAAGCAATGGCAAGAGAAGCAAAGACCAGTATAGTAACTGCAATTGCCCTTTCTTTCTTATGGTACTCATCATTTTCTGCTTCCATGGTGCTAGCAAAGAAAAGGGAAAACACCCAAAGAGGGGTTATAGAGAAGCCATTAAAGAGAGAAGTTTAAGAAGTACAATACTAGTCCTGTGATGTTGACAAGACTAAATGGGACTGAGTCACAAAACAGTCTTCTTTTTTTTTCTTCTCTCTGATTTCTCATTTTTTTTCCCAGGTGTGTATTTGTCTTCTTTTGCGCTATGCGCGCGGGGAACAGTGTACAAATAATGTACAATTATTTTTCTTCCTTTTAAGTCCCTAGACTCGTTGTGGCTATTCAAAAGAATGTTTGTCTTTATTATTACTAATAAGAAAAATTAAATAAATTATCAAAATTACACCTTTTTTTCGCAAATCGAGTTTTATATTTCAACTATTTTTTTCTCCGTATTAGCTTTTAATAACTCAAAGAAAAAAATGTACTCCCTCCGCTTCAAGAATTTGTTGTTAGACTTTATTTTCAAGGATGGAGCTAGCAATGATCAATGAAAAATATATTATTTATGTGTGATTTAAATTGCTTTTAACTTATATATATATTAGAAGTTGGATTCTTTTCTAATGAATCCCTAAGAAAATTTTGGCCCTTTCGCTAGTTTGAATAAATGTTTTTTCCTAATTTGATTACTCTTTTGTAATATTTCATATGACATAATTAAAATTATATAATTAAAAATATATTTTGATATATTATACCTACTTTCAGTTGATCAATGAATTCAAAAATCATTTTTATTATAATTAAATTTTATGTCCAACTAAATTAAGATAACAACGAAGTGAATAATTAAAGTGTTTGATAAAGTTGCAAATGGTTTAAGAGTTAAGACCTCTAAAGGCAACACTAAGGCCCCATGGATTTTATTAACCCTTTGGATTAGTTTGATTAACCTTTCTAATTCACTTTAGTTTTATTAGCTTTGTTGGTGTTTTCACAATCATTACATCACTTAATTATGTCTCAGTCACAAGTTAATTGATGTTTATTGTACGAAATATTTATATCAAACCATTTAAAGTATGATAAGTAAGTATTTTGAAGGAAAAAAAGGTTTGTTTAGATATGATTGTTAATAGCTAGATCCTTGAGTTATTATCTTTCCTTTGGTAGCAACATATTTGTTTAGACCCATTCATTTGAATTCTTAGTTGTTTTTTATAATGCTTTCTTGAAGTACGATGACATGGATTATATTACAATACTCTTATTATTCATCAAACAATGATATTATTTCATAGCACAATATCCGTTTTGCTATTATCTAATTTCGTGCCTTTTCACGAGTTTGTTAAATTATAATTTGTGCTAAATTTTGGTTTCCATTTACGTGTATTTCGTATATATAAGATTAAAATTAAATGTATTTGTTCCAAGTACACTGTATTTAAGTAGATTTTATCTTGAGTACACTAACTTCCGCTCTCACCTCTCTCGCTTCTCTCCCCTATGTAAAATGCATTTGATATTCTAAATTCATATATTTAATGTGACACTGTTGTGAATTAAATTGACCTAGCAAGGGCTTATGGGCTATTAGAGAGTTTAATTTGGCTTTGTTAAAAAGGACCAGGAGTTAGAAGAACAGTTATGCAAATTATTATGTTAGAAGCTTTGGCTTTGTGTCCTCTCATCTTGTCTTGTATCTCATCTCTTTCTGGTTACTTTCTTTCTCGTCTCCTTAATTAGAGTATTATTACTTTGTTGTGTCTATTTTACATTGTAACTTGTATTCAGTGATCAAAATATGTAACTGTGTTTCTGTTGGAATCGAGTTTGCTTCAGGTACATATGTATTTGAGATAGACTAAGTCATTTCTTGCTGGCTTCCCTCCTATTTCGCTCGCCTCTTTCCTTTTTCGCCTTCCACTTTCTCTATGTGTCTATATTTTAGAGTGCATATAATAACAAAAATACATGTATCTACATGTATTTAGTTTAAGATCTAATATGAATTAATAGTGAGATAGCGTGTAACAATTTCAAACTGTAGAGAGAATATATGTAAGTAGCAATGGCAAGAGAGGCAAACTTTTTGCTGTTAAATAGGATACGTACATGGTTTGTTCAAGCCAATGATCTTATCTTTCTAAACCAAAAATCTTTTCTCTACTAATAACAAACTCACAGTAAGAATCAGGAAGATGAGGAGCAAATGCAACGCGTATAAATCTCCGCGTTTGTGTACTAAAGCAATCGTCTCCATTTACCTCTCGAGCGACCCTCTCTTCTTGCCTGGACAAGAACAATCTTGTATTAACACAATTTGCCCATGACAAGCCCAATGCGGCACATACTTTTCTCTCAGATGTATACCAACAAGTTGAATTCCCAATCCTCAGTCCATCAGTATCATTCATCACATCAACAACTTGATTAATCACCACTACAGCCAACCCAAACCGTCTAGCTTGCTCCTTCAATTTGCTCGAAATCCTGAAAAACAAACCCGATCTCTGTTTGAGATCACGCGGGTTGTTTTCAAATTCAAATCGAAACAAAGCTGCAATGGAGTCGATCACGATGAGCTTGATTTGGGAAGGTGAGTCAAGCCGGGAGGATAATAAGGAGTCTAGTTGAGACAATACGTCGAACAGGTGGTGAGCAGAGTGGAGAGGGTGGGTTAGGATCTTACCTAAGGGGTTATGGAGAGTGGGGAAAGAGGAGGAGAGTTGGTGGAGGCGGCGGACGGGGAAGGGTGATTCGGAGTAAAGGTATATAGAGGAACCGGAGAGGCCGCCGAGTGAAGTGGGGAGTTGAGCGGAGAGGAGAAGCTGGAGGGAGATTTGGGTCTTGCCACATCCACTTTCGGCGACTAATTCGGTTATTGAGTTGCAAGGAATGCCGCCGCCGAGTAAGCGGTCGAGAACCAGGCAGCCGACGGTGCATTTCTGGGTGTGGGTGGGGCTGAGACGCTGAAGGAGATCCTCTGGTTTCATGGATTTTTGAAAATATAGGGAAGGCGCCAAATTGGTAATGCCTCTCTTCTAGTGGAAGTATTAAAAGGTTGTTTTCGAAAAATACTCGATTTTAGTAACACACATCATCACAATAGGAAAAATATAATGTAACATTCAAAACAATAAGAAGTAATAATAATAACTAAATAATATAATAATCGAAATACAGAGTAACAATAATTGAAGGATAGACAACTACAAGAAAAATGTTGCTACTACAAGTATGAAAGGGGAATGAATATCGAGCACCAAACTATCACCAAGCTTATTTCATGTCGTTTAAACTACCTACTAACTTTTTGGTATAGTCTATAATCTTCGTAACTTTCTATCTATGATCAAATTTTTGATAAGTTAAAGTTGTATCATGACTTGTCTAATCACTTATCTCTAATACTTTATTTATCCTATATCTATCTCTCCAAGCAATCTCTATTACCTTCTCAATCAATGAGATATTTGCACAATTCGTATTCGTATGTCCAAATCATCATAATCTCCCTTCCTCTTTGTTCTCATAGAGGAGGCAATTTCCACTTTTGTCTCATATTGTATCTTCATTCTTAATAGTTTCACGAGGATTGTTTCCTTCTGAACGAAGCCTTATACGATAAATATAATGCTCGAATGCCTCGTGAAAAAAAGAAAGTGTATAATATACATGGAAAGTCTCCGTTCCCAACCATACATTCACACAACTTTTGTCCAATCATTTTTTAATCATATATTATACGATGTGAACTTCGATTAATTTAAATTATTAAAGATATTTGAAGATTTGGTTCCCTGTCTAATCATATAACAAAATCCCATTCTGATAGTGGAAAAGGCACAAAAATGGGGAAAGAACCAACATGGCATGAATTACTAGGAAGCAACAACTGGGAAGGTCTTCTTGAACCATTACACCTCAATCTCCGGCGACTCATACTCCGGTGCGGCGACTTTTGTCAAGCAACTTACGACGCCTTCAACAATGACGAATACTCCATGTACTGTGGCAGTAGTCGTTACGGTAAAAGTTCACTTTTCCACAAAGTCATGTTCAAATCCGCCTCAGATTACCAAATCGTCAGCTTCCTTTACGCCACTGCTCGTGTTGGTGCCCATAAAGCCCTCTTCCTCCACTCTCTTTCTCGTGAATCATGGGATCGTGAATCCAATTGGATCGGGTTTATAGCTATAACTAACGACGAAATCAGTGAACAACTGGGTCGTCGTGAAATCTACATAGCATTTCGTGGAACAACGAGGAATTACGAATGGGTCAATGTTCTTGGTGCTCGATCTGAATCAGCTGAACCTCTAATCTGTAATGGAGGAAGTATTTGTAATGATGACGAAAATGCCCCTAGAGTGATGAATGGGTGGTTGAAGATCTACATATCCAGTGACCCAAAATCACCATTTACGAGATTAAGTATTAGAGCACAGCTTCAAGTAATGATTGAAGATCTAAGAGATCGGTATAAAAAGGAGAATCTGAGTATAACTTTTACTGGGCACAGTTTAGGTGCAAGTTTATCAATTTTAGCAGCTTTTGATCTTGTTGAAAATGGGGTTACTGATATCCCGGTATCCGCCATTGTTTTCGGTAGTCCACAGGTAGGAAACAGAGCATTCAACGATAAGCTGAAAGAATTCCCAAATCTGAAAATCCTCCATGTCAAGAACAAAATTGATGTGATAACTCTTTATCCAAGTTCTTTGTTAGGGTATGTTAATTCAGGGATCGAGCTAGTAATCGACACCAGAAAATCCCCATGTTTGAAGGACTCAAAAAATCCAAGTGATTGGCACAATTTACAGGTAAAGAAAATAAACTATGTTGAATTGAATCTGAACGAGTCAAAATGAACTGTGTTGAGCTAAAGTTGTTTGTAGATCAATTTGGTCCAAACTTGAATAGATTATATTTTCATGAGCTAATTTTGTTTGTAGGCGATGTTGCATATTATAGCGGGTTGGAATGGGGAACATGGAGAATTTGAGATGAAAGTAAAGAGAAGTTTGGCTTTAGTGAACAAATCAAGTTCAATGTTGAAAGATGAGATATTGATTCCAGGATCATGGTGGGTTGAAAAGAATAAAGGAGTTGTTCTTGATGAAGATGGAGAATGGATTCTTGCACCACCATTAGAAGAAGACATTCCAATCCCTGAGTATTCACTCTCTCCTCACTACATAGAATTGTTTATGTATCTTGTTCGTTTAGCCAAATTTCTTTTTATTTTTATGATCGTAGTGTTCGAGCTAACTTTCTCATACTACCTGGGACATCTCATTGATTAGTCACACCTTAATACTATTTTGCCAAAAAAAGTTTTAGAAAGTCACAAGTGCTTTTTAATATAAAAATAATTTATTTTAGAGAGTTTGAGGCATTTGGTCAAATTTTTAGGGAAAAAAATACCTAGTTCTTTCTATGTCATACTATTTTGCCAAAAAAAGTTTTAGAAAGTCACAAGTGCTTTTTAATATAAAAGTAATTTATTTTAGAGAGTTTGAGGCATTTGGTCAAATTTTTAGGAAAAAAAATACCTAGTTCTTTCTATGTCATAGATTTTAAAGCTAAAATTTAAAAATTAGGATTTGTGAAGTTGTGATTTTTGAAATTTAGAGTTGTGTTGTGTTGAGAAATTCCATATCGGTAAAAGGAATGAGAATCTAATCTCCTTATTTGAATTTACACAAATCTTTACTCATGAATTAATTTTTGGGTTGAGTTAGGCGTAAGTGTCATATCTTTACGTATTAAACATATTTACTTGAAGATGTTTTTAAATTTTTTGAATAAAAAAAAAGTTTCTATCAAAATTACGCATTAAAGATATTAACTTGAAGAAGTTTTTAATTTTTTTTGAATAAAAAAAAAATTTCTCTCAAAATTTTATTTGTGACGATTTTTGGGAAGTTGAAAATATTTTGAAATACAAAAAGCAAGTGTCCTTTGTTCTAAAAGTAAAAAAATGATTTAAAAACAATAGGTTGACAATTATTTGAACAATATTCTTTGCTATAGACTTTATCTTGCTAGTAACGATGATCATGATAGGATGCCCATTTATGTAACGAAAGAATTTACGTTATATACATCGATAATCAATTATTTTTTTATATCATTACTATAATTTTAATTTATGATGCTAGAGTTTATTCACTGGAAAATGAAGCCATAAGTAAATTACTAGAAGATGAAATAACACAAATTCATGAAGATGGAATAGAGGAAGAGGAGCACAGGCACATAGCTATTCTGAAAGAGAGTCGTTTACTTATCCACAGAACAAAAGCAGTGTTAAAACAGAGTTATAAAGAAGGGCACTTTGTGTTTAGACAGTATGGCAAGCATGGAGAAACAAGTTGACATGAGCGGGTATCGGATATTGGATGGAAATTTTCGAAAATTTAGTGGAAATACTGTGTTTATATTGAGAATTCGTTAATTATATAAAAAAAATTGATAATTGAAACTCATTACTAAAAAGAAGATTTTAGAATCGATTCCATTTAAAGTAATTTTAATATTATTTTTTTCGGATTATTATTATATATTAATTTATTTAATTAAAATTGTATACGCTCAAACTTCTGAATGTATTTCTTAATTTGATTTTATTAGTCAAAGGAAGTGGATTGATTGATTCTTTGTTGATTTTATGTTTGTTTTCTTAATTAATGTGCTCATGGTAGAGTGATTTGGGAAGCATTTTATAGTTTAATTTTTTCATGTTACATGACTATAATCATACAATAAATAGTAAATTTAATTGTATATTAATCATTTTTTTTATATTTAATATAAATAAATAATAAATAGGAAAATTATTATTAAACTCATAATTAATTATGTATTCATACCTTCTCTTTCATCATATTACATTTTCTTTTTTTTTGTATTTTTCCCCTAATTCCTTCCAATTCAAGATCCTTTAGTATGATTATAGGAGTGATTTTTGTGGTTCAATTCATTATACTTATATTTGTGGTTCAATCAAATGTCATATGTTTATATTTAATAATATTTATATACATAGATTTGTATTGTAATATTAATAAAATGGTGATTTGTGAATACAAATATATTTGGATACATAAGTAATTTATCCAATTTGATTAAGCAATACAAGTATAGTTGGATACATCAATACTATATTTTTATAAATAAATACCTAAGCTAAAGTCAAGCCTCAAGTATTATAGAAAACTTCACGAAAAATAGATCGACGTTTTGTTGGTTTTTAAAATTTTTTATATAATCGAATACTTATACACTTTGATACATACACGTTCTATTGTTTTTTCATTTTCTTATTTAACAACAATGTATTCATATTATAGTATATTGGTATATTCATTTTTTTGTTAACAATAGTGTATCCATTTTTCAAATTGTTGTATTCATATGCTAAAATTGTACTACCTTACTTTGTTTGACTTTGATGTATTAATACATTAAATTTTTATAAATATTTGTATCCTTAATATATTAATACTTTAAGTTTTATAAATAGAATCACCAATTTGAATTCAAAATATTCATATGCCAATTGTACAAGTTATACATTTTTCTTATTTAGTTATTGTAATTACAACTGTATTAGTGTATAAATAATAAAAATAAAAACATATGCAAAAATACAATGAGAAAAGACATGAATAAACTTTTATATTCAAAATTTTATGAATACCTTTATGATTAGTATTTAGTGAATATATTGTATTTAGGAATATAAATACAATCTTTTGTATTATGTGAATCAGTCATATTTGCATACAATATGTAATTATTAGTTGGTAATTTAATAATGGAAATTTCATTTATTTAGGAACATAATAAATGGTTGGTACTTGAAAGTTATGGTAACATATCATACCTTATTTAGTGCATTGTATAAATAATAATAATAACAATAAAATAAAATAAAAATTAATACAAACATGCAGCTAGAAATTGACATGAAGTATAATCATTTCTAGTAAATAACATATTTATAGCTGTTGAACTTCAATAACCCTATAAATGTAGTTATTTTTGTAAGTTACTCTAAATTTAATAGTCCATGATGAATTTATGTTATAGTATTTGAACATCCCTTCTATTCATCTTCTCAAACAACGTATTCAAATTAATTTTGATAATTCTTTTCTTCTTTTATGGCTCAGATTAGCTCCGATTGAGATATCAATTATCACTAACGTTACTACTTACTTAAAGATTCAAATATGATTTTGTCCTTATTAAGAAGTTTACATAGGCTAATAATAAGAATCGAATCAATTGAATAACCACTCTATCCTAAAATACAAAATAAAATGAAATAGGGTACCCTCAATCCAATAAAAAAAAGAAATTGAATTCAATTTTGTGAAGTAAAATGAAGTTAGAAAAGTAGAAAACCATCTATACTCATAAATCTCATCAATGCCTCGATAGTTACATGAACAAGAGAGCAAACGAAAAAGTAAATTAGCATCTGAATTTTAAAGCACGAAAATTAAATTATTATTGAGAGATGAATTAAAACATGAAAAGTCAATCAATAAAAATAGTAAACAAAAATCAATAATCTGATTTTGGGATAAATTTAAAAGGTTAGGTGAGATTGTCTTTATTGATTTTTCATGTTATTTATGACAAATTCATCTGAACCATTAAATGTATAATTAATCAGGTGACTTTAATCTAGCGCAACAATTAAAAATTACCGGATAATTTATTACTGAACTGGATCCTTTCACTATGATTTGAGCAATTGAAAAGGGATCGACATTAATATTAGCATCTAATGGAACCTACACGTTAGGGCCACAAGACTTTTTCCAAAACATAAATGAATAAATAAGTAATTATTCACGTATCAATAGTATAATCCTTGAATAAACAAGCAATTACTCACGTATCAATAGTATAATCCTTAATAGCATGTTGTACAAGACATTCAAAGCTATTACTTTTTTTTTTTGCATGTCCAAAATGCCTCTTTGTCCGCTAGCAACCAAGAGGTGCTTTGCCTAGACTCTTAGATAGTATAATAAAATAAGAAAAAATTTAATTTTGTTTTTATTAAATTGTTTGTAGTCTTTTATCACGTATAATTTATTTCTAACCTTATGTTCAAGAACAAATACTATTCAATTCTCTTTATTGAAATTGACTGAAGTGTTCAATTTTGATGTATATTATACATACGAAATTAGTTATCTTAAAACAATTATTTTTTTATATAAACAACATTAGGATATAAAAAATGTGTAATAATGTTCTTTACTAGCAATTAAATAGACATCAACCTAATATGATAATGTCAAAGATGAATCCAATGGCCAACAACCTAAAAAAGATAAAAATGAATATATACATATATATATATATATATATATATATATATATA